CGAGGGGATAGAAAAGATTCAGTGTTATTCAAAACTCAATATTCAAGCACTGTTATTCAAAAACAAATTTTAAGGAGTCATTTCACTCCTCTGTAACTTTCAGGAGTAAAGTTTAAAGTAGATAATTGAACTTCAAAAAGAAAAAAATTTAAAAATTACAATCATTTTAATAAATTTTTTATTTTATATAACATATTATTGGGCAAAATTAAACTCTCTTAAGCTAAAGATTGAATATTTATTAATTTCCAATTTTTCACTCTATTTTTAGACAAATTCGAAAAAGTTTATAAATAAAACTTATTGAAATATTTTTTATATTTTATTATTTCCCCCTTTAGTTGTTTCTACTGTATGTCGGAAATTTATGTCACAAAATAATAACTTTCGAGCATTTAATTGAATGTTATTTTAGATGTGCTGATGGACGTAATGATATATTTCTTCAATAACATGGAAAAACGAACTAGAAATTTTAACGAAAACTTTACGAGAATTATTTTCACTTTTTTTTCAAGACTGAAACTGAAATGTGGTGCAACTCTGGCTTCTGAATACCGTTTATTTATCCTCAATAGTGATTGGTGTAAATTTATTTATTTTCTGATTTCAATACTAATTTGCGTAGTTTAAATTCATTTTATTGTGAGCACAAATATGATGATGGTTATTACAGAATAACCTGTTGGGAATCAATAAACTTTTTTCCACCTAAAGTAGCATGAGTAACATAATTTTTAAAATCATTTAATTTTTCAAAATGTATTAGTATGTTTAGCATTTTTCAGGGAAAATCGAGTAAAAACATCTTAACCTTTAAAAAATTACCTAATTGAATGATGATAGACAGTTTGGTTTTTATACTACACTGGTGTACAAAATTAAGAGAATTTGCAGACCTGGTCGATTATCTCTAGAACTACTGGACCGATTTCAATGAAATTTGATATATACATACACCGACTCAATACAAAACAAATAACCATTCAACAATTGTAATACACACACACGCATGATCATGCGTAACACTCGGTTGAGTCGGAAAGTATGAAACAGCGGTTGCAGAATAAACAAAAAGATTGGTTAATGGGGGGTATGGCCCCCTCTTACAGATATACAGGCATTGCAGCGTGATTTCATATTTGAAATAAGGCAGTTAATCATTTCCTGTGGCTATTGGCCTAAATTTTCCTGTGGCAATTTCATACCTTCCGACTCCAACGAATGTTCCTTACGATCATGCGCGTGTATTACAATTCTGGAATAATTATTTGTTTTGTATTGTATTAATGCACGTACGTATCAAATTTCATTAAAATCGGTCTTGTAGTTTTTAGAGATATTCGACCAAGTCTTCTTACAACAGTGTAATATTAAAACATATTATTTGTGTAGGAAAACCTTCATATATTTTTGCTCATTAAAAACAAAACGTTTTAGTTGTAAGTGGAGATAACTCCTTAAATATTAATATAAACTTAGAAGAAAAAAAATATTTTAGCTTTAGTTTTATATAAGAAATAGTTTTCTCAAAAATAATATTCTCCCAAAACATGTTATCACTAGACCGTTTACCCAATTTTTACTTTGTATTTGTAGCTTTAAAATCTTTTCTATTAGTAACTAGAATAAGTTAATAGTTTTCTTAAAAATAATATACTCCCACACATGTTATCACAAGACCGTTTATTCCGAATTTTTACCTTGTATTAGGGTTGTGTGCTTTATCACAAGATCGTTTATACCGAATTTCTACTTGGTATTAGTAGCTTTGAAATCCTTTCTATTAGTTACTGGAATAAATAAGTAGTTTTCTCAAAAATAATATTCTCCCAAACGCGCGTAATTTATCACAAGGCCGTTTATACCGAATTTTTACTTTGTATTGGTAGCTTTAAAATCCTTTCTATTAGTTACTAGAATAAGTGAATAGTTTTCTCAAAAATAATATTCTCCCACACACGTTATCACAAGAGCGTTTATGCCGAATTTTTACTTTGTATTAGTAGCTTTATAATCCTTTCTATTAGTTACTAGAATAAATAAATAGTTTTCTCAAAAATAATATTCTCCCAAACACGCGTAATTTATCACAAGACTGTTTATACCGAATTTTTACTTTGTATTAGGGTCTTGTATTTTATCACAAGGCCGTTTATACCGAATTTTTACTTTTTATTGGTAGCTTTAAAATCCTTTCTATTAGTTATAAGAATAAATAAATAGTTTTCTCAAAAACAATATACTCCCAAACATGTGACAAGACCGTTTATTCGGAATTTTTACTTTGTATTATTAACTTTAAAATCCTTTCTATTAGTTACTAGAATAAATAAGTTCAAATAATAATTTTTCATTCTAAAGAGTTTTTCACCAAACATTTGTATTTCAAGAGAAATGTTTTATTCTATCAATTCTAAAAAAGCTTTTAAGAAAAGTGTTTCATTTGAAAGGAAAGATTTGTTCTCCATTGTTTGAGAGTGCATTGAGGATTCATGAATAATTTTTCATTCCTTCCCTAGTGCTTGCAAAAAATCGTTGCGTAAATCACTCGTCGTATTTTATCCACCACCATCTCTAAATATTTTAGACTATAAAGCGAGATTTTCCGTCTGTGACAGTTTGGGTCACGTACCATTCTCTTAGTCTATCTATCAGTGGTTATTTGATTCCATATGTTTAGAGACAAAAGCGAATCTCTGACTCAGAGAGGGAAAAGTACATACTCGGAGAGGGGAAAGCCCCAAGAGTCACATAATGCTACTAACATGCCAACTATCATAGCGCATGACAACTGTGGTTTTTTTTTTTAGACTTAATCCCTCTTTTTTTCCCTACACTCCATGCATTTCTCTGCAATTTAAAGTGTCGAGAAAACTTTTCCAAGAAATGTATTGGGAATAACATGAAATATTTAATCTCGAAGCTTTTTTTTAAACAATATTAAATATTCCGATTGATAGTTTATTTTGTGTTGATAACTATTTTAAATCTTTTAGAGTCTCATAATATTCCCATTATTGGTAGGTGATTTTTGTGATCCGACAAGAAAACGGCACTCAATTAAATGACACTTAATATTAGATATTCCGATTGATAGTTTATATTTTGTGTTGATAACTATTTTAAATCTTTTAGAGTCTCATAATATGCCCCTTATTGGTAGGTGATTTTTGTGATCCGACAAGAAAACGGCACTTAATTAAATGACACTTAATATTAGATATTCCGATTGATAGTTTATATTTTGTGTTGATAACTATTTTAAATATTTTAGAGTCTCATAATATTCCCATTATTGGTAGGTGATTTTTGTGATCCGACAAGAAAACGGCACTCAATTAAATGGCACTTAATATTAGATATTCCGATTGATAGTTTATATTTTGTGTTGATAACTATTTTAAATCTTTTAGAATCTCATATTATTACCATTATGTTTGTAATTGATTAGTAGTAAAGAGTTGCCAAAAATCTTGCTATTTTATAATAAAATTTTTATAGTATTAAATTTTTTTTTAAAATTTGGTTGGTGATTTTTGTAATGTAACAAAAAAATTGCATTCAATGAAATCACACTTAGCAATGCAATTATTTTGCCGTAATAACCATTTTAAATCCTTTAGAACTTGTCATTAATCCATTTTTGTTAGCAATCGTTTAGGAAAAAAGATATGGTAGTTTATTCCCTGGAAGAAAAACTAGCCATTATACCAGGAAATTCTCTTATTAATACTATCATTTAATATGGATGGGTGACTTTTGTAATCCAACAAGATAAAGGCAAACAATTAAATGACACTTAATAATGTTTTTTCTGCTCATAGTTCTGCTCAAAGTTATCGTTAAACTAATTTATACGGCAAAAAAGTTGATCATTTTATTTGTCCTAAAATTAAAATTTAAAATGATTTTAATGATCATGATTTTAAAATTTAAAAGGATTCTGAAACTCACTCTTTGATATTTTTTTTAATCCTAGGTTATAAGAGTTTATGTCGCTGCAAATTATTTCAATAATAAGGTTTTCATTTACATATAAACAAATTCATTTACATTTAAACAATTTTCCTACTGGTATAATTTGCTAAAATTAATTACGCTATAAAAAATCTTCAACTTTGACACAAAATAGCTCCGCAACTAATGACGACAAACAAAAATATATCGTTATCCGAATAATTTTTAAACATTTCTTTAGAAATGTTTAAAAATTTCTGACATAAGCGTAATTTTCAGACATAAGCTTCATGACTGCATAACAATCACAATTCTCCTGCTGATATATTTTGCAAAACTGAATTAGGCGATGAAAAGTTTTCAACTTTGACATAAAACAGTCTAATGATGACGTACGAAATATTTTGATATCAGAATGATTTTTAAGCATTTCTCTAGAAATGTACAAAATTAAATTTTGTTTCAGTTCATAATTGCTTAGTTATGACTTACAGAAGTACACTCGTTGAACATTTTCTGAAACAGCTGTGACGGTTGGGGGAAGTTTAAAAAAAAAAAAAATGGAGAAAAGTTTTTGTTTACAAACACTTTTTTAAACATTTAAATTTCAACAAAATTTTAACAAAGTGTTCATTACAAATACCATATAGTTAAGTGATTTTATACGATGACAATCGGACAATTCGAAATTTTAATGAAACAAAGAATCTCTTAAAAATCAGAATAACTCGACTGATATTTAACAAATATTCTTTAAAATGTTTTTGAATTAATTACTTAGTATTATACTGGTTTTGTAAAAAGGTGTTTTCTAATCAATACATTTAATGAATATTTTTAGAATTCTTGTTAAAAAAATGCTGTAAAAATATGCACGTTATAGGTTGAAATTTAATATTTGATCGAGTAAAGAACAATATCTGTCGAATTACAAGTTAAGAAAGCTGGTTGAAAAATAAAAGTAATGCGAAACTTCTTACATGATTTTTAAAAAATTTTCTTTAAAATGATTTTGACTTTAATAATCATTAACATTTCAGGAGCGTCCAATTTTTCAATATAAGGAGAAAGAATTGAGGCAGCAGTTGAAAGTAAGTCTTATTTATTTTCATATTTTACAGTAAAAAGAAATTTTATCCAAAAATATATAGTCTCTTTCAAGTTTTGCTATTCCAGAAGGAAAAGGAATTTTCATATTGCATCCGAGAAATATAGAACAAAAAGAAAATTGCTGTAAATATTTCCTGTTATAAGAATTTTAAAAAATGGAAATAGTTTTGCAAGGTTTCTAAATTTTTAGCTGACTATTTTTTTTAAACCTGTTTTAATTCTTTAAGTTATAAAAGTTTTATTGTTTTAAATCTAAGCTCTTAGTGTATATTAGATTAATAATACAAACTTATAATAAAAGTTTCATTAACTTATTGGTAGCAATTTTTTGTCCAGTCAATTACCGTGTAATTATTTTAATCATAGTTAATATTGTATTTTGTTTAAAGATGGTAACACATATTTATTAAAATTTTTAACTTACGTTTTTTAGCCATTTTTTCCGATTAAAAACGAAGCAGCAAGAATCAAATAAATTCGGGCTTACAAGCGAAAAAAACTGATCACCCTAAATAACTTTTGATCAAATGATCGGATCTTCACATTCTAGGACTCAATCTTAATGGTTTGAGAGGGTAAACTCAAGCATGTTAATTAATTGGAACAGATGATATTTTTCAAGTTTCAAAATCAGTCACTGAAACTTACTTTCTCTGAATCAACATATCTTCTTTTCGACAGGCTCTGACCCCCAAAACACAAGGAGTAACTGCTATCTGGGAAATATGGTCCCGTCGAGAGAGGGGTTGTCTTTCAAATGTCCTTTAAATCGTTTGTCCTTCAAATTCATTACCATGTTATCTATTGCAGATTTCACTTATGGTAAGAGGCTTGACATTGTTTGTTGATTTCGGTTCAATGGACTGTTTCGTGGATATACTTCCGAAAATGTTAAGAATGGGTGATACTTTGCCTAACATGTTTAATTGCCTACTACTTTTTGGGCATGCTTTTCTAAAAATGCGTATCATGGGTATACTGAAGCTATGTACGTTTACAAACGCAGATAAGGAATCAACTACGCATTGCGCTGCAAAAAAAATTTAGTGTATAGTTGCTTCCTGAGCCGCGATGTGTCAGGAGAAAGAGCGTTCGCCTTCCAATGCGGCGAACCGGGTTCGAATCCCAGTCGATACGAGTTCTGCATCCGGCTTGCACCGGCCACAGTGCTGACGTGAAATACCCTCAGTGGTAGACGGATCATGCGTTAGAGNTGTAAATATTTCCTGTTATAAGAATTTTAAAAAATGGAAATAGTTTTGCAAGGTTTCTAAATTTTTAGCTGACTATTTTTTTTAAACCTGTTTTAATTCTTTAAGTTATAAAAGTTTTATTGTTTTAAATCTAAGCTCTTAGTGTATATTAGATTAATAATACAAACTTATAATAAAAGTTTCATTAACTTATTGGTAGCAATTTTTTGTTCAGTCAATTACCGTGTAATTATTTTAATCATAGTTAATATTGTATTTTGTTTAAAGATGGTAACACATATTTATTAAAATTTTTAACTTACGTTTTTTAGCCATTTTTTCCGATTAAAAACGAAGCAGCAAGAATCAAATAAATTCGGGCTTACAAGCGAAAAAAACTGATCACCCTAAATAACTTTTGATCAAATGATCGGATCTTCACATTCTAGGACTCAATCTTAATGGTTTGAGAGGGTAAACTCAAGTATGTTAATTAATTGGAACAGATGATATTTTTCAAGTTTCAAAATCAGTCACTGAAACTTACTTTCTCTGAATCAACATATCTTCTTTTCGACAGACTCTGACCCCCAGAACACAAGGAGTAACTGGGAAATATGGTCCCGTCGAGAGAGGGGTTGTCTTTCAAATGTCCTTTAAATCGGTTGTCCTTCAAATCCATTACCATGTTATCTATTGCAGATTTCACTTATGGTAAGAGACTTGACATTGTTTGTTGATTTCGGTTCAATGGACTATTTCGTGGATATACTTCCAAAAATGTTAAGAATGGGTGATACTTTACCTAACTTGTTTAATTGCCTACTACTTTTTGGGTATGCTTTTCTAAAAATGCGTATCGTGGGTATGCTGAAGCTATGTACGTTTACAAACACAGATAAGGAATCAACTACGCATTGCACTGCAAAAAAAATTTAGTGTATAGTTGCTTCCTGAGCCGCGATGTGTCAGGAGATAGAGCGTCCAATGCGGCGAACCGGGTTCGAATCCCAGTCGATACGAATTCTGCATCCGGCTTGCACCGGCCACAGTGCTGACGTGAAATACCCTCAGTGGTAGACGGATCATGCGTTAGAGTCCTCTTGGCGTCAGGCTAACCGTGAGAGGTTCTCGTGGCCTTTCTCTCCATGTAACGCAAATGCGGGTTACCTCCGTCAAAAAGTTCTCCACGAAGGCAAATTTCTCCCAATACTCTATCTAGAAGTTCCCTTGTCTTCTGGATTGCGTTCAAAATTACAAGTCTACGGAGTTGAACATTAGTAGTCGTAAACCCATAAAATTGGGTCTGCTGTTCAACGAGGGTTATATTATAAAATAAAATATAGTTGCCTCCTGACTCCCGGTTGCTGAGTAGTAGCGCTTCGCGTTGTCATGCCACAGGTCTTTGGTTCGATCCTCGGGGAGGAGAGGTTAACTCAGCCATTCATCCCTTCAGTGGGTTGATAAAATGAATACCAAGCATGCTTGGGAACTTAACACTGGGGGTTTCGCGTTAGGCTGACCAGCCAACCTGATTCTGCTCTTGTACCCCAGAGCCCAAGGGTTAAAAAAACTGAGATGGGTACAGTAGGTCTTGGCACACGCTTTGCAGTCACGCCACGTAGTTTAGTTTATTGTTGCCTCCACTTTTTAGTGCTGAGGAAAACTTAATAAATTTATAAGTACATCATTGCAGTTATGCAAAAAATTACACAAAATCGACAAAATAATATTTGTTTTAAAGTATTCCTGCTACTATATTACTAAAAATGTGTTTGTTGTTTAAACAAAATGTTTTTGCCATGAAACCATTAAATTAATTCTAATGCGCATGAAAATATGTGTTGTCAGAGAACAGAAAGTAAATAAATAAATAAATTGGCAAATAAAAAATAAATAAATAAAACAGTAACAATGATACATGCACTGTAAAAAAAAACTGAATTCACTTCTTCACCAAAATTGGTGTCAACAATACACCCAAACTTTTTATAGTGTAGCAGATTCTGTAACTGTAAGTCTACGTAAAGTTCATAATATTTTAAAATTAAATCTTGAAAACCTTCTGGATTGAAATTATTTAATATAAAAAAATATGAACTTTCCTTTGTCTCATTAATAAAGATTGCAGAGACGTGAAATACGCTAAACTACTACCGAAAAATTTACAATAAAAAGGATTCTGTCACAGAAATGTAACACATAATTACTTTTTCGCTTAGTTCATCGAAGAAGTATTTTAGATGAAATGTCAAAGTCTTTAGAAATATTAATTATATTTTGAGCAAAACTTTCATTAATAATATTATGAATGTATATAGCATTTCTAAAATTGATCTTCAACAAGATTCATTGAAAACTAATTTCTCTCTTTTCATTTTTCTTAAATATCACTCAATTTTATATTTTAAATTTTTAAATAAAGTATGCAGTTCATCGTTATATGCATTTAAATATTTTTTATAAATTAATTAGTCTTTAGATGCATGTTTGTACATATTTATCAAGTTCATTTGTGTTAATCAATTTTAAAATTCGCTGAAGACAAGTGCAAATAGTATATACTAAATTATAAAATAATTGTAAAGTATATCTAAATCATTCAATTTAATACTATACTTTTCATTTCCATCCCGATAATCAAGATGCAACGGTAGGTAATCTACGTTGTAAAGTTCGATAAACTTTTATCAAGCTTTACAAAAAAAAAATAAATAAATAAATAAATAAATAAAAATATTGTTGAAACCCTTTTTAAGAATTTATGTCATTTTTAAACTTGTTAAAATAATTTTCTTATTCCCTTAAAAAAAAAATTCAATTTTAAGCATTCTCATACAAAAGTTTCTTTATGTAAATAAAAACTAATTAAAATAATGTGTCCCACACACATAATAACAGATAAGAAATAGATATTAATTTCATTTTCAAAAAAAAGGAAGAAAAAAAAGTGAAATAAATAAAATCTAAAGCTTTGTAAATGTAGAAGCAAATTAAATTTTATAAATATTTTTTGAAGAAAATACTGCTTAAAAAATTTAATTATATAAGCGAAACCAACGAATGATCTGAAAAATATATGTATTATCCATTGAAAATTGCAACTTCTCAATATTGATTTTAGACATCAAAGAAAATAAAGCAGTTTTCCATTTCAAACTCAGATTTTTTTGTGTAATAAAATGTACCAAATAATTTCTTCAAAACTTTGTCGGAACTATAGAAATTCCCAATTAATTTATATCTTGATTTGTTCTGTTAAGCAAATTTTTTGCCACGAATTTATGCAAATATGTTTGTTTTTGTCAGTAATTATTAATTCAAAAAGCTTTTAAAATAGTTTTAATTGGAGTTAAGTAATTTTAATCACTAATTTCAATTGTTATATATTAAACTTTCACTCAAAGAACTAAATATTAAGTGCCATACTGATTTAAAGTTTTTCTTTTCATTATTCAAACATTTAAGTGCTTTCGAAACTATTATATTTTGTTTGAGTCTATCTATTATTATTATTATTATTTCGCTTGAATGCTCTGTTATAACTATATTTATTAGTTCATTGTTTTTATGCATCAGTTCTTTGTTTTAATGCATTTAATTTTATTTATTTTATTTATTTCATTTTGTTTGTGTTTCAAATCTTCTTTTAATTTTAGTTTTTAGATGCATAAATGGATATGAACAAACGATTGATATGAATGGTTACACACCAAAGGAATATTTTGTTATTATTTATATATTTTTTTTAATTTTTGGTAAGTAATTTTATGCATTTTCTTCATAGCGAATAATGATACATTAGACAAATTTTATTTTCTGCGAAAAATACTTAAAAAACAGAAAATAAATTTGTATAATTTTTTTCGTCAAATAACAAATAAGTACATCTACATTTTATATTTTTTCAGCAAAGCCGAGTTAAGATTCATTCATTTTATTTTGAGCATTCTAACATGATAAAGCGTGGACTCCAAGACAACGCAAACTTTTATTTTTACAAGTATTTCCATACTAAATATTTCTTTTTATAAAAATTAGAAGGTTATGTTCATTACTGATATTTATTTTATTTTAAATGCATTTAAAAAAATTGGAATGACCTTTTTATTTGAGAATTCTGTTTAAAATAATTCTGAAACATTAAATTCCTCAGATCTGTTGATACTTAAAGTATAAAAGATTTGTGTTAATAGTAATAGTCAAACATTTTCCTTCTAATTTTGATTGTCAGAATAAAAATTAGAGAATTTAGAGTATCATTAGAATGTAAAATTAGGTCCTTCTCCACTTTAAAAATATCCCGTAAAATGTGTTTAAACTGGGTTTAAAACTAAATGGTTTTAAACTGGAAGCATTGTTGGTTGCACAAAACCGTAAAACTTAGGAAGTAAATCACCAGCCTAAGTTTTAACAGTTTTTTTTACCTTGCAAAAATAATTTCTCCGCAAAGTACGAAGTAAATCTTTGGACACAACTGTTTTCTAACATGCAAAATCAACCTTTCTCTTCAAAAGGAACAAAATAAATCCGTAACCCTTTCTGGATATATTGATCGACCTTATTTGTGTGTATTAATTAAATGTTAAAATGTCTGTACATACCGTTTTAATGAAATTTAGTGTTAAAAGGAGTAAAATTTTAACGTATGATAATGAAATAAGAACAATTTCTATGAATTTATAAGGTGACTGTTAAAACATGGTAGAAAGAATTTATTTGTTGCTTACTTATTTAACGTGATTATTTAGGTGGGTATTACCATTGCATTGCATTCATTGTGAGTATTACCATTACCTTGATATATCAATATCATGTTTCCTTTTTAGAATCGAGTAAATGGAGATGGAAAAAATTTGACCGAAGCTCAGTTTCCAAGTACTTTGTTAATTTCTGATGCCTCACCAAATAATTTATCCCAAGCCTCCACTCCAAGTCATAAGAGTGCTGCCAATAGTGACTCACCTATAGTAAGTTATTAAAATTAGTTTACAGAAGTGTTATTTAATTGAAATTATTAAACTAAATGGTTTTATAATTAATATGTTAATTAAAAGATAAAATATAGATTGACTTGGTATTGGACTAAAGGCTGTTTACACTGTCTACGTTCTTGAATCCGAGAAATTGGAGGAATTTCTTCCTCCAAGAAATTGGATGATTCGTCGACACTATCCCAGTTCTTGAATCTCACTGATTGGTAGGATTGGTGAAGAAAAACTTGCGCACGAGCATTTTCATATTGAACATTGCACACATTGAACATTTCTTTTTTTACACATCATTAATATTCTTCTTTTTAAATTTCTTTCTTTACACATCATTAATATTCTTCTTTTTAAACTTCCTTCTTTGCGCATCATTAGTATTGTTCTTCTTAAACTTCTTTCTTTACGCATGATTAGCATTTTTCTTTTTAAACTTTCTTTCTCTGCGCAAGATTAGTATCGGCATTGTCCAGACGATGCCACAAGATTGCGCATAGTTTTAAGACTCGAAATGGGCCAATGACAGGCAATCTGATGTAGTGTTTTTGTGAAATGTAGTGTCCACTCTGTGGAAAGAGTTCACAGAGACTGGAACGCCGACTTAGTCAACGCTGCAAAAGGGCGACAACGCAGACTGTCTAACTGAAAGAGATAGATTCACGACGGCGACACAATTGTCTTATCACCTGTATAATTCAACAGGAACAGTAGCTGAAAGACTTAATGTAGGTGGCAAGTTTTTTGTAGTCTGCATCTCTCTTACTGGTAATCACAAAAAGAATCGTCTTGCACGGTACCGAGAACACCTGTCTTGAACTGAAAATGATTGGGGTCGGGATCTTTTCAGTGATGAGTTGCAGAGAGATGTTCTCATCTGGAAAAAAGCCGCGATCTGCCTTCTTACATTGTCGAAAAGGACCGCTATGGTCTACGTGGTCTGATAGTCTGAGCAGGAATCATGGCTATGCAGGTATACTAACCTTCATGCGTTCGATACAGGTACCCTTACAGGTCACTGATATAAGGATGAGATCTCGAGATTTTTGCACAGAGCAATTGAACCGAAATTCATCTTTATGAACGATAACGCCAGTTCATACAGGTTTATAGGCATAGGCCAATTCATAGGCATGCTTACATCACGTCCGGGTCACTAATGTGAGGAGAGTTGTTATCGACAAAGTTAACCTTCATGTATGAAAAGGTACAAAAACATAGAATTGAGTTAACATGTCTTATGTACAAGTGAATTGGAATTGTATTTTTGAAATGGTAGATATACTACAATACAATAGAATAGGACAGAACTTTAATATAAGGAAAATAATAATTATTAATAAATTATAATAAAACAACATAATTATTTCAAAATAATTGAGCATAGTTTTCAACTTTATGCACATTATTTTATAAGAACCTATTAAACAACTAAAAACTCACATGCCTTTAGTGGAAGTGATAATCTCATGCGTGATCTACCATTGTCATCTGATTATTTCTAACCGTACGTCAAAATTGGTGTTTTCAGAGTCGAAAATTACTCATACATGGTGTAAATATGTTTGAACTTGGTGTAACCCCATTATTGGTGTTTTGATTTAAGTACACCCTTTAAAGTGTTTGTAAACGTTTGATTCAGTGTTAATTGGAACTACAGTATTTGGTCACACATTTTTTCAACGCCATATTCGCTGAGGTATTACACTACAGTTTTTACTGTTCATGAAATAACTCAAAAATGCTGAAAATAAATCTCAACCATTAAAAATGATTTTTCTTAATTAATAATTTACTTCTTTATTTTGCTTACTTATTTTGCTTCTTTTTTAACAATCCTAAACTCTCAGTAGTTTAATTCTTTTCATTCGCAGTATTTTAATTAAAAAAAAGGTGCTGATTTAAAAATCTTGTATGAAATTTTTATGACCCTGATACGGAAATGTTACGACAATCTTTATCTTATCTGTTTATAATCTTCGTTAATAATATTCCAGATTAATTCAAATTTCACTAGTTTCACTGGAAATTCCATTAAACTATGTGATTTCATTAGTAATGAGTATTATTGTTTATTACATAAGAATGACACGAAATCATTTATAGTCTGATTAGGAATCACTCGTTAAGTGACAGACTTTTATTTCATAAATGCTTTGAGCCCAAATTTTCTCACACGAAGATTGACATTAAATTCTGATAAAATAAAATAAAAAAAGTTGTGATCTAATTAGATATTTCAAAAAGTTCTAAAATTGAAACAAAATTCTGTTAAAATAAAATATAAAAAAAGTTATCCAATTAGGTATTTGAAAAAGTACTCATTCACTGTATTGTTTACAATCCACTGCTTTGTTATAAAGCCATTCTACTATTGAAAATTATCATTTATTTCAATTTAATATTTTGTAAACATTAATTTATTTTTAAGCATTTAATTATTTGGAAGTATTAACTAAATTAGTGCTGATTTGTGGAATCCATTGTAGCTTTTCCTTTCGTCAAACAGTCTTAAAACAAATCTGTATGATAAAGTATCTAAAGATCATTGAACTTATTACTAAGCTTTTTTATTTATTTATTTTAAGTCTTTATTTATTACTTATTAAGTCAGTGGATCATTGCAGTAGATTGACGAATATAACTTTCATCGAGAAGTGCACTAATCTTTATCTGTGCTAAAAGCAGGAAAGTAACTTAATATCAAGTTTCTGACAAAATCTTGATCTAAAATAAAATACTTTCTGTAGTTCTTGAAGTGCTGATTTGGAATATGCTATTTATTTTATAGCTGTACAAATGATGCTTAAATTACCCCAAAATAGCGTTTTTGAATTTGATTATAACAATTTTTTTATAAGCTCTTTCACCAAAGAAAATAAAAACAGGCACAGTTTAAGTGTTTTACATTTGAAGCAAGGTAATAATTTCAAGCTATTTGTAGTAATTTTAAGCTTCAGTAAAGAAATATCTGGGCATTGGAACAGACAAATTACTTAATTATCTTAAATTTTTATTTTTTTATTATTATTTTTTTTTAAATCCACCAATTTGGCGAAATGTTTCCCCCTAGCCTTACATTATCGAAATCAAATGAAAATGAAGTCTTTATGAACTCAAAAAAATCAATGTTGAAGTTATTTTTTCAATATTTTATTTTATTTTATAACCGTCGTTGAACAGCTGACCCAATTTTTGGATTTATGACTACTAATGCTCAACTCCATAGCCTTGTAATTTTGAAGCCAATCCAGAAGACAAGGGAACTTCTGGATCAAGTATTGGTAGAAATTTACCTTCGTGGAGGACTTTTCTTTGATGGAACTAGTCCGCATTTGCATTACATGGAGTGGAAAACAATGAAAGCCTCCCACTGTTAGCCTCACGGCAAGGGGATTCTAACCCATGATCTGTATGGTACTGAGGGTATTACACGTCAGCACTGTGGTCGGTGCAAGCCGAATGCGGAATGCGTATCGATCAGCCATCGCGGAGAATCGAACCCGATTCACCTCGTTGGAAAGAAAATGCTCTATTCCCTGGGGAATCACGACTCTTTTTTTAAATTATTAGAAAATTAGTTTACAAATGCTTTTCCTTTTCACAAAACAATGGCTTTTCATTTTTACTGAGCAAAATTCTTGACATTTTTCAAATGAGCATAGAGGGCGCTAACTTGATTTAACAGCAATGAATAGCTGTTGCAAACTCACAGGAATTATAAAAATAGCATATTATACACAAAATTGGCGTAATTTCATCTGAGTCTTCAAAAATTAACCTTAACCGACCTATTAATGTAGTTATGACTACCTATTAATGCTGACGAAAGCATTAAATGAAGCATAGCTATAGACACAAAAATCAGATATATAGTTTTGTTCGGTAAAACCTTCCTCAATATGGAAGCACATTTTGGGTCTCGACAATGAGAAAATTTTTGTTTTATGAGCCTATATTTAGGCTTTATTCACGTTGTTTAGTTTTATTCATACAGGGAGTCTAGCAGACCACTGATTGATTTTGAAATCTCGGAAACAAAGGACAAATGAAACAAATTGTGTGTCTATCATGAAAGCTGTAAAAATTTTCTGCAAACATTTTGGAATTTAATTACAAAATTTGCCAAAAGATGATGCTGTACTCCGTACAAAGTTCTTGAAAATTATACAAATGACTGTAATATAACCTGTGATATTCCAGTACCAGAAACACAGGCTGTTAAACCTTTTGATCGGGTACGACAACTTCCATTCACGTTTTAATGATTCAACTGATCACTTTGATCATCGATGGTTTTTTACAACTAAATTCCAAAATTTCGATATTCATTCCTCTTTTGTTTCTGAGATGTCAGTTAGTCATAAACTGGACACTCTGCATGTATCTTCATTGGGATGCTCTAGCTTGACATTTTTACAAGAATCATAAAAATATGTATTAATGGTAATAAAAAAATGACTTAATAAATTTACAGAAAGAGGGAAAAAAACAGAAAAGAGGACAAGGAAATTCTACGAAGATAGGGTGTTGTTATGTTTCCTATATTTTTGATAAAACTAAAGGAATTCAACCTGTTGGTAAGTTTTTAATTACAATGCGTTAAATCTAAATTGAATTTGAGGAATGGAAAGAAAGCCTCTCTAGCGGTTGGAAATGCCTTGCAGCATTTTCAGCACTTAGCCGATTCCAAATCAGACTCTCTTTATTTAATAGCGGTGGGTGCCGGGGGCTATCCACCCTTAACAATGTCTTGAACGGAAGGGGTCGGACGACTCTCAAGTACCGCTTTCTAAAGGACGAGATGTAATTAGAAGAGACTTGGGAGAGTTTGCTTTGATTCTTGAGTAAGTCAACTGCCCGCTGCGAGGTTTGAACAAAGAGCCTCGTTTCGATCATTTATTAAAGGATTAATTTGTGCAGCAAGACTTGACCTCGTCCAAAGTAAATAAGAGCTTTTATTGAATGTAGTTTCATTCAAATAA